ATGCTTAAGTTTTTTTATATTAAAAGTATAAAAATCTCGCTTAATATGTGCAATCATACGTGTCTAATCAAGTAATATAGTGATAGAGTTGAGTATCGATCTCATAAGGAAGAATGTTTACTTAAAAATACTATTACTATCGACAGGGGGCGGAACCAACCATAATTTTCAGGGGGGGCAAACGTATAAGTAACTGTTCGCATATATGTCGAGGGTCCAAGGGGGCAGCGCCCCCTAAACAAATTCTGATTTACTATTTCTCTTTGTATTTGGTTCATCATTCCCTAACAATAACACATCTACACAATATATTTAATTATATATGGGACAATTGCCTAAAGACCATGGTATTTTAATATTTTTAGGGGGACAATTACCTAAAAACCCTTGTAATAAAGACTAAAAATTATATAAATAAAAGTATAATGAAAAAAAAATTTGAGGGGGGGTTCCTCCCCTGCCTAAAGAATTTAATGACTAAAAATTATATATGGGACAATTGCCTAAAGACCATGGCAATTGCCCCCCCTAGCAACAAAGGGGTTCCTCCCCTGCCTGTCGACTACAATTACAACAATTTTCCTACTAAATAAAATTAAGTTTTAGCGGAGATTCAATCACTTACTTTAAAATAAATAAATAATTTAAATGAAACACTCTTCAGTTAAAATTAAATGTTTCAGATTGATGGAATGTAAATACAATATGCTTTCTAATGTTTCCCTTTTATATTGATGCTATTTAGAGCATATGCATCACCGACCGTTCAATCAAGCGTGAAGAGATAAAGGACATATTAAACTCTTCCAACCTCAATACCATTCAGAACTCTCATAGTTTATCATCCTATGAAAATCTTAGAAGAGTAAGTAATGCATGTACTCTTAAAAGCCTATCATTATAATTCATTCTATAAATTTGGTATATGTCAAGCAATATGTCTATGCTTGCATCATACTAATCCAATTTCTCTGGTTATACATACTTTTCTATTCATAAGCTCTACATTACACATAATATTAACTACGCATATGGCCACTATATGTATTAAATGAAGACTTGATATATTAAAAACACCATTAACTTATTGATGAAGAGAATTTATTAGTACTCCACATTCCATTTACACCATCAATGTAAAATTAGAAAATTTAGCCAAACATGAAAATTAAGTGAAATTAACTCATTTTCATTAATTACACAAAAGAAGCAAAGTATAGAAGAAAAGAAATCACCGGATGGGTTTAATGATCTCCTCTACACTCATCCTTAAACTTACAGAATTGCTTCCACAAATACTGACCACTCTTATGAAAGTGGATCTAGTGCTCCCTAAATTCCCTTAATTATCACTCCTAAGGAAATTACAGTATTGTATTGTGCAAATTGAAATTAACTAAGTGACTGAACTCCCTTATTAACATTACAAATGAACCATTTATAAAAAAGCATAGAAATGGATTTTGGCACTGTGATTCTAGAGACACTTACGTTGCGGTGCCCATAAAATGAACTAACGCTATATCACTGAAGGATTTCCTCCATTGTTATGCTTTTTGATGTATAACTGTTGTTTAGTGAATAGACGGGTCGCTTCGCTGACAGATTATGTCCTAAATGG